CAAAACCATTATACCCTGATTTCCCATTTTTAATGGGTTCAGGGTATAAAAATAACTAATTAATTGAATGTTTCTATTAAGAAGTCACCCCAACCTGAGCCACATGATCAATATTCATTATTCAATCGGAACTGAGAAATGTTCAGAGCACACCACCACAATTCCAGCTCGAGCAATCAAGCTAGAGAGAGGGAGAGAGATAGAGATAGACAGAGGGTTAGACAGTTAGCTGAAGACTGGCAGCCATCAGGCAGGCATCTTGGCGATTTCAGTCAGTAGTTGTGGCAGCTGTTGTTGCTGCTGCGGTTAGCAATTGATGTCGCGGGCGCTAAAATCGACACACTTGTCCCAGTAGCAGGGGCCGCTTGTTCGCAGGCTCTCGCAGCCGGGCCGACTTGCTCCGGCTCTTGCAATCGGCGGCGCTCAAGCACAGGTTAAATGGATCACGACTGCACGGATTTTATGTCCGTCTGTTGCCGTTGTCTGTCCGACTGCCCATAAAGTACGCGACATGCAAACGTTTTTGATGCAATGACTCGATCCGCCTGGTTCCAGCCCGACCAGCCAAGCAAAATTAGGAAATTGTGTACGACTGTTAACTGACAAGGCAAGTGTTCCAGACAGTTGAGGCTGTCGACTTGATGGCGACTGCCTGCGCTTCCTCCCCTGCCTCGTCTCGCTGCTACTCTCCGCGCTAAAGCTAAGCTGATTTTATGCCAATACCCGGGCACATTTAACGAGTCTCATTAAGCTTTTGAGACCATAAAAACTCAACAGTTGGCCATTTTGTTTAACTGACGTTCAATTGCCTTTACAATTCCAGCGAGCACCTCGCACGCCACCAGCCCCAGCAGCAGCGGCAGCACCACTAGAAATAGCAACAAATCCGCCACCAAAGTCGGACCTAGCACCAAGGCCTACAGCAGCTCCAACAGAAACTACAGCAACGGTAACTACAGCAATGGCAAGCAGGCCTCATCGTGCTCATCCTCCGTTGGCGGCTATTCAAATGCTGCTGGTTCTACGCTGGGCGTCTTCGGGCGACAGCAGCAGCAGCAGCAGCAGCACCAGCAGCAGCAGCAGATGTATTCTTCAAGCGTCTCCAAGCTACCATTCTCGCCATTCTTCGCAGCATCGCCATTCTTCTTCACGTATCGACGCATCAGCAAGCAGGAGGACAACAATAATAGCTGCAGCTACAATAACGGCAGCAGCAGCAGCAGCAGCGCCAGCAACAGCAACAGCGCCCTCATGCAGGACTACGATCGCAAGTTTAGCTTGCTGAGCCTCTTCAAGAGTCCCTACAAAATTACCGATGCCCAAGAATCCCGTAAGGGCTCCTCGACGAGCGGCGGTAGCAGCCTCAGCAGCAGCAAGTCCGCAAGCACAGGAGCAACTGCTGGTGGCATGTGCTCCTCGCCCAGCTGGAAGAGCTACTCAGGCTCGGGTGGGTCACCGCATGCGGCACTGAACCCCGCCTTTGGCGGCCTGGCACTGGGTGGCGGTGCGCGCAAGGACAGCAGCAGCAGCAGTAGCTTTAGTGGCATCAATTTCGGCGGCAGCAGTGCGATCAGCGGCTCCTCGTTTAGTCGCGACGTCGCCTCCAATGGCAGTGGCTTCAATGATCTCTATAAGAACCGAAAGGTACACAAGTGCGACACGGAGGGTTGCGACAAGGTCTACACCAAGAGCTCGCATCTCAAGGCGCACAAGCGCACGCACACAGGTGAGTTGCACCAAAAGGCGTCTAGTCTAAGGATATCATGCTTTTTATATAACTCGCACTATCCAATCTCTTACCGTCATTTTGGCTATTCTCGTTTCCCCTGCGCAGGTGAGAAGCCGTACGTGTGCACCTGGGAGGGTTGCATCTGGCGCTTCGCCCGTTCCGACGAGCTGACCCGTCACTACAGGAAGCACACGGGTGTCAAGCCCTTTCGCTGTCAGCTCTGCACCCGCAGCTTCAGTCGTTCCGATCACCTGTCGCTGCACATGCGACGTCACTGAGCCACAGGCCATATGGGAATACTCAAAAAATAGCCCCGACTACGACCACGCCCACAACCATGCCCACAACCACGCCCATATAGACATCATACATAGGAAAATGCCCACGATGAGGCCGTTTTGTTTTGACATTTTCTACTTATTATTTATAAACCACTGTTTCACTCATCACTTCGTTCGTTCAGTTTGTATGTCTTAACGCTTAAGTAGCTCAATTTAGATCCGTAAGCGGGCTCAAAGCCCAATCGAGCTGTAGGGAATTAGCCCGTAAGTATTTTAATCAAAGGACAATTTGTAAAATTTGTATAACATCTAAGTAGACGTTGCCTTCAAGAAGCCAAGTTAACAAGTGGTACTACGAGTATAAAGACGGTTTACTACTACACTACCTAAAGAATTTAATAGATTTGATATATTTAATATTTGATATTTAGAAATTTGTATTGGTGCTAGCAACTGGTGTGTACATACATTTACTAAACGCGATACGTTTTACATATCCACAATACATTAGCCATTAAGAAGGTTTAACTAATTTTAGCTCAAATTTATGCATTGGATATTAAGTAGAAAATTTTATGCGAAGACAGAAGAAGAGGGGAAATCAAAAGAGCCCACAGACAAACACACGAGGCAGCAATATTTATAAATGACAATCGTACGATTTAATCAACTCTGATATAGTTACTCTTATACTTCTACATACATATATACATTTGTACCATACGAAACGGCAGTTACAGTGCAGTCGATCGACCTAACTCAGAACATTCCATTGAAAAATATTTGAAATGAATTTCGTAAAATATTTTAGTTCTATCATGCTTTGCTATATCCTATTTTTTGCACGCCCTTCAATTCGCATCTCTGACAAGCAAATACAGTATGAAGCAGGTTATTTTTCGGAACTCTGAGCTGACAGTACACTTTATGCTTCTGCTGTGTTATTCTTTTGCTAGCTAATTTTGTTAAATTCGTTAACTTATTTGTAAATTTTTATTACTTGAAAATGATTTCAATAAGAACGCCGAAATTAAGTTCTTTCATGTTAGCTCTTAATTACACTTGCCAATAAACTGAAACCGGAGTCGATAAATTCGCCAGACTCGTGCAACAGCGGCGCAACAGAAGAGCTGCAACTGCTACATAGATTTAACTAAGCCACACAGAAAAACTAAAACAAAAACTAAGAGCCAACTGCAACCATTCCAGACAAAAATAAACGAGGGAAACAAGATCAAAGTGTATTATTTTTGTACGCCAAAACCTTATACATACCTACAATATATATTTTTTTGCTGAAATAAAAATAAAAATAAAAACTTTGTGTACCATAAACAAACAGACACAGCTAACAAACATATTTGCTTGTGGCTGGAGCTGGAGCTGAAGCAGAATCCGAACAATAGCAAGAAACGGGCAGCTCATTAAGCCACACAACAGGCCCGGGTCCAAATCCGCTGTGGATTTTATTTAAATGAAAAATCAATTGAGCGCACAATGGCTACCAAGTGGCTGTCCCTGTCCACTCCACTAACCACTAGCCACTAGCCACTGTGCGCAGTCCAGAGCTTAGCCAAAAGATGTGTGGCAAGTTGTCAACAGCGGCAAACAGCGGCAAACGGCGGCAGTTCGGGGTGCGGCCTATGTGGGCTCCTCTGGCCTCGCCTCGACTCCACTCGACAGACGGCCTCGCATGGCCCCATGGATTGCGGTCCAGCAGTACGCACCCGCCAATTGTCCAGGGGAGCATTGTCGTCGTTTGTCGTTGGCTGCGCGCGCGTTGTTTGCAATAATAAAGATGACAAATTTCTCGTCATTTGTAATTTCAATGCGGGCCTTGGATTGGCTTCTTTTTTCATTTTCTTTCTTTAGCTTTGAGCTTTTTATTTTTATGTTTTCTCTGTTTTTGCTAATGTGCGCAACTGGTTAGAGCCCTGCTGCTATCTCTTTTCTACGCGACGACGATGACACCTGCAGCGGAAATCAGTGCATGAATAACGTTTCGATCATTAAGCTAAAATTGTGAAATATTACGTATACGTAGCGGCAATTTATTGGTAAATTAATAACCAACCCAGCCGACAGACAGTAGCTAGTAGCCACCTCTGCTGTTGCCGACGTCGACGTTAGCAGCGACAGCGGCAGCGGCAGCAGCATCGGCATCGGCATCGGCATCGACATCGGACTCGCTCGATGGGGCCGCGTTTAGCATAAAGGTTAAACATAGATAACATACCGGTTTTTTCGGGTTAATTAATATACTACTCCTATGCGTCTGATTGTATGTCTAACGAATATGCCTCTTGGTCAGGTCATCTTGGCGAGGCTGACGCCAGGTTTAATGACCCGCGGCACATGCAAATGAGTAAAAGTAAACAAACCAACGAAGCCAGCAAACCAACAAATTAACAAGGCCAGCAATCGACTCCAGCTGCAATACTTCTCTTGACTCCCGCGCGTACATCATTTCTGCAATAATTGGAAAGATATTCGGAATTATTTTAAATAAAATACAAATAAGAAAGTGAATATATTGTAATCTTTGGCCATGAGATTTATCTGTATGACAAATTCAATAAAATGACTTGATGAATCATCATATTAGTCTGTAAAGCTTCGATAAAATATTTTCGTTGTAGCTATTCGGCATAAATATGGATCTGACTGGAAGTTAGATGCAAAATATTTCTGAGATAACTTTTTCATTATCCATATCTCTCCGTATTGAATTAGGCGAGTTTATCTGATCTGATAGTAGCAAGCCAACAAAAGTATCTTACAGGGAATTAGTAGTCGTATGAGTCCCTGGTGCTGCCAATTTAAATAGAAATGTTTCGCTTTTAATTTACAATTCGACTTTTAAATAAATTCGAAAAATCAAAATTTAACGTTGGATTTGATTTCAATATTATTTTATTGAGTGAGCCTGACTTTAAGAAATTTATGCCTTGCATATATGAAAATGTTTATGCAATAATTAATGAAAATGGGCTATAAAATAAAATAAATACAAATAAATAAAAAAGTATTTTCACATTTAGAGTGCTGTGAACTAAATGCTTAAGAGCTTGTGCCATGCACAAGGCTTGCAGCCTTGACATGCATCCACACACACATATACATGCTCGAACAGCTTATTAAAAGCCAATAAAATCGCAGCTATGCATCAGCAAACGTGTCCATCAAACGTGGCCTGCCACTTGGAGTTGCATTCGATCAGCTATTGAATGCGGATTCGGGATCGATGCTGTCCATCAGCCACCAAGAAATAAAAGAAAAACCAAGAGGAAAAAAAATAGACAACAACGCTCCAATAACCAAATCGCACGGCAGGTGGGCTAGCGCAGAGACGCAGAGCTCGAGGGCAGAAGGAGGTGAGGCTAGAGGACAGCCGCTGAAGTGTGTGTGTGTGTGTAGATATCTAAGCCAAACACAGTTGGCCATTTTTAATTTATTGTTATACCTCTATGCTGGTTTTTGGCTGCTGTTGTTGCTGCTGCTGCTGCTTCGGTTGCTGCTGGTCGGCAGGTCACCTGCAATTTATGAAACGGTGCAGCTTTAACGGCCTGATTTTTTAGACACATTTGGACGACTGTCGCAACGTCAGTTCCTTCTCAGCGCCCCTCTCTCTCTCTCTATCCGTTGCTCTTGCGCTCTCTTCGTTTGATTTGTGATCGATTGTTGGTCGTTACTTGGCGACATGGGGCATGAAATCTTTGACACCTAACGGTAGCTGTCAGCCAGATCGCAGTCACACAATCACAATCACAACCGCAATCGCAGTCGGATTCGCCCCCGTCGCAGTTTGCCTTCTAGCTTCTGCATTAAATTGGAACAGCCTCTGCCCCTATGGCGCCTCACCCCTCTCCGGCAGCCCCTTGAAGCTTTGTCTCGCCGCATGTGTCTCGGAGTTGTCAGCGCGTTGCCAAAGTGTTGGCAGTTTTGCCATTTATTTTACAGGTGAGTGAGTATAATGGAAAGGCGGTCTATGTCCGTTTATGCGGAAATGTGGGCCTCTCCAGCATGCTGTGCGCGTTGGCTCAATTAAAAATGGCCTGGGCCACGTTAGTGCCTCATTTGACAATTGGCAATTGCCTAATAGAGCCAAATGGTCAATGCTCTGCTGATGTTGCTGGTGATGATGCAGCTGCTGGTGTTGCTGTGGCTGTGGCTGCAGGCTGGCGTTTCTTTTAATTTTGTTTGGCTAAAATGCGTAAATTAAAATTCCCATCACACCATAAAACCCATAAATCATCTTTTATCTGAGCGAGTCTATCGGCGCATGCGCGCGCGCCAACATTCAACTTGGAGCGAGCCAGCAGCAGGAAAAACTCTCCTCCCAGCCTCTCTCTCACTCTATGGGTGCGTGCGTGCGTGTGTGTGTGGAAAATGATGCTGTCTGCATGGCCAGACTCGGCTTTGGGAAGTGCAAACTAAACCTGCTTCGTTGCCTTAATGAGAATTTAATATTTTTCAATAAAAATTTGTAAAAGGCGCGCTCGCCTGTTGAGGCTGGGGCTTTTTCAATGGCCTCTACACTGCAAACGCCTATATAGAAAGATGTGGCCAACACTCTAATAAGTCTTTAGCTGTGTCTGCATGTGTATGTCTGTATGTATGTTTAAATGTCCGCTTGGGCCATGGATAGCTGCCCAGATCTCTTATTTGATGCGCCAGTGACGGCAGCTAATGGATTTGTTCATAGGGCGGACTTTAATTACAGATCTATACAATTAAAGATCCGAAGCCTAAAGTATTATCTTCAAGACTCTTCAACGTTTCTTTTACTAATGTCTGTAAAGTATCACATTACAGTAAGTACTATAATATTTTATTATTTTTATACCCTGAACCCATTGAAAATGGGAAATCAGGGTATAATGGTTTTGTT